AATTCTTCTTCATTTTAATAAATGCAAGCAATTCTGAGCGAAAGCGAGCTAGGCTCACGTCTGGTGAGAGGCCGAATCGTTGAAGTGAACTGCTTTGCGTACTGATCCTAAAGCTGATCCTAGTAGGATTCCTACGCAAAGAAGTAGAAAATTACGAAAACAGCCTGTTCCATTTTCCCTTGTGTGTGCTGTTTTTAACGGTTATTAACTTTGTTCCGTTAAGTACGCATTTAGCTAAAAACGAATAAAAAGCTACAAAACAACCCTACCTACAGCACAGCTCACTGTCAGTGCGGACCACAGAAGGATGAGCATCATGTTCAAGGTCCGACCAGATCTTGTTCTTTTTCGCTAGTCGTTCACCGCGCTGTGAGTGGCTGAAAACTCGCTTTGGTCTTTACTAATTGGTCAAAACTAAATTTTGCATCTTCAAGAATCTGATCGGCCTTTTTTATGGGTGCTCATCTGCAGCCTCTGACGTACAATGAGCCCAAGTTCCATTCTCCATTCCTCCATGCGAAGCTCCTCGTTGCTGCTCCCAGTGGTGGCGCTGGCCTTGCTGCCTGGGGCCTCCGCCACCTCCTCTGCGTCCTCCTCCTCTGTCTCCACTACCAGCGCTCCCTGCGACCCGCAATACGAGCAGCGCAATGCCACCACAGGCCAATGTGACTGCCGCGAAGGCTTCAGCGGCTTCGGCTGCCGCATGTGCACGCCCAGCGGCGCATTGGCCTCCACGTCGGTCTCTGACGTCTGCAGCGGCACCTTTGGGCCCGATTACTCCTGTGTAACGGGGCTCAGCTACGACGCACACGCGATGCTCAAGACGTACGGCTGCACGCTGTCCACAGACCTGCAGGCGCTGTTCCCGGACGGCGCGCTGGACGTACGCTGCGACCGCGACACGGAGGGCGTGGCCAACTGCACGGCCGCTGTATTCAAAGCTAAAGAGACTGTGCACAGCGTACACGTCATTGACTGCAACATCACACAGTGCGCGTTCGCCACGGGCGACGCCAACGGGGAATGCGCGCAGATCGACTGCAAGTGCGGCCCTCAATGCTCGGCTATGACCAAAGCGCTGGTGGAGAGCGCGTTAAGTGGCAAACCAGCCAAGATCGAGGTGACTAATCAGACGCAACTAGCCATTGTCATCGAAGGCTCGCCTATTCCTCTCTCTGCTACGTGTACAGCGTCAGCGTGCGAACGCACTGGAAGTGGCGGAAGCAGCGCGTCCGGTAGTGGAAGTTCTGGCGGTGATTCGGGTGGAATCAGTGGGCTGTGGGTTGCTATGGTGGCGTGTGCAGCTCTAGCGGCCGCGTTGCTACTGTGTGGATGTCTCTGCTCGTGCTGCTTGACTGCGAGTATTCGACGTGGAGAGATGGAAGACGTGGAGACAGAAATCCTAAAATTTACGTCGCGATCGGTCAATATGCTCGAGTTTCATCATATTAGCTGCTACGTGGACGATACTGAGCCTTTGAAGGCTTCGAGTGAGCCGAAGCGTATTCTGCACAAGATTTCGGGTCGTGTATCACGAGGTGAGGTGCTGGGCTTACTGGGGCCTAGTGGATCGGGCAAGACGACGCTGTTGAATGCCCTTGCAGCGGTGGAAAATGGACGATCGGAGTTTGCAGGCGAGCTGTTGCTTGATGGCCAGCGATTGTCGAAGGGATACCGCCGCATTGCTGCCTATGTACAGCAAGATGACTCGCTTTATTCGACTCTTACAGTGCGTGAATGTATCTCGTACTCGGCACAGCTTCGTCTTCCTCCGACGTTGTCTGATTCAGTGAAGAATGCGATGGTGGATCGGGTTATTGCAGAGCTCAACCTCACTCACGTCGCCAACTCGCGCATTGGGTCAGTGGGGGGAAATACTAGCCGGCGAGGAGTGTCTGGAGGTGAGAGGAGACGTGTGAGCATCGGGATGGAGCTCGTGACGTCGCCTCAGATTCTCATCCTAGACGAACCCACCTCCGGACTTGACAGCTCCTCAGCGCATTCGGTTGTACAACTCATGAAGGATCTGGCGGATCACGGACGCATTGTAGTGCTGAGTATCCATCAGCCTAGCGCACGATCTTTTTTACTACTTGACAAGATTATGTTGCTTGGGAAGGGTAAATTGCTTTACAGTGGCGAGCCTGCCGAGTCCAAGAACTACTTTGAAGAGCTTGGCTTTAAGTGCCCCGAGGTATGTATTGAACCTATCCTTGTTAGCTTCGCTCGCTGAATGTCTGACGTCATGCGTTGTGACTGCAGCATGAGAATATTGCGGACTTCATTCTTGACATCGCGTCCGACACGAACAATATCCCGATGATCCGGTCTCGCATGAAACGAGAGCCTTCCCCGGTCTCTTCAAAACCAGCCACAGTGCGCTCACGTCTACAGACTATCTCCCCGCGTTTTACAATCGGCAGTCCTCCACCAAGAGCGGAGTCGTCACCGTTCATGAAAGAGGATGCATCGCTTGACACGCCCCGGTTAGAGAATATGTTAGCGTCACCGGTTGGAGTTGGAATCCCCAGGGAACCAAGCACGCGGGGAATACCAGCGGGGCCTGGTACACCGCGCAGTCCGCCGCCCCCTTCTTTGGCAGAGACCGAAACGGATGAGGTGTTTGATGATACCAAGACGCCGACCCGATCGATGCTGGTTGAGATTCGTGTGCTCTTTGCTCGTACAGCGCAGAACATTCTTCGTCACCGGTCATTGCTCGTGCTACACATTGCACTGAGTCTGTCACTAGCTCTCTTCGGCGGACTCATCTTCAATCACGTGACGAACGACCTCGCAGGGTTCCAGAACCGCATGGGCGCGTTCTACTTCATCCTCACGTTCTTCGGGTTTGCGAGCATGAGCTCGATGGATTTGTTCATTGGTGAGCGTCAGATTTTCCTTCGCGAAACTGGTGCCATGTACTACGGAGCGTTCAGCTACTTCCTCGCCAAGGCCATGCTGGACACATTGTTGTTGCGGATATTGCCGGCATCTTTGTTTGCGAGTATTTTCTACTGGATCATGGGACTGCAAGCCACCACAGATCGCTTCCTGTTGTTCTCTCTCACGTTGGTGCTGTTTAACGTGGCAGCTGGTGCAATCTGCCTCCTCGTGGGTGTCCTATCAAGGCGCGTTGGAGCTGCAAATCTGGGTGCGACAGTCGTTCTGCTCGTGATGCTACTTTTTGGTGGCTTCCTGTTGAACTCTCAAACGATGCCATCGTCCGTGGGCTGGCTGAAACATCTGTCCATCTTCAGCTACGCGTTCGAGATCCTGATGACCAACGAATTGAAGGGTCTCATTTTGAAGTTTGACGCTCCCGGTTATCCGGCCGTGCCCGTGTACGGTGAAGTGTATCTCAAGACACTTGGTATGGACTACACCAATCGGTTCTATGATGTGGCAGCGCTCAGCCTGATTGCGGTGAGCCTACAAGTGCTTGCTTTCCTGTTTTTGTCGCTGCAGGTTCCTCTACACCGTGGCATGGCCGATCATGACGAAGACGATGATGTTGCACCACCACGAAAAGAAGAAGTGTAGATGGAGGAAATTGATATTTGAAGAGTATTTGTGATATGCTATGTGTCAACGGTATTGTACCCGAAGTTGTTTTAATTATATTTCCAAACGTATTGTGCTTTGCAGATGGAATGTCCCTCCGGTTTATTGCCTAGATCGAACACGATCAGAGCGTAAAACCAAGCGTAAGCATGAAATGGAACGCAGGAAACGATTTTATATGGAGGGCTTAATTCTACGGCTGACATGCTGAATGTTGAGCAAAAGTAGCATGTTTAAAGCATATTTTGGCGTCGGCCTGGTATCCAATATTTAAGGGCTAACGGTCTTTGGTCGCGAACACTCACAGGATTGCTAGTCACGCATTTTTCTCTTTGTGGGCATGTCGAAAGCTAACTGCTTGGACTCGCGAGTACTTAACATCTACCGTGTATCCGGCGAGAACATTTCGTGAGCTAAAGAAGAAGCATCACTACTCTGTTGTAATGTATTATGAGGAAGCTTGGTAGTTCTTGGGCAAATTGAAAAATGATATTGTTAATTAGAGTCTAGAGGATATCTGCACTCTGTTGTGTCCACTCCTTCAGCCTTTATTAGTCATTATGAGCCGTCCCGTAAACCATCCCGTAAACTTACCATCATATGTACCCATTATTTGGTACCATACTCTTATCCGTTAGTAAGCGTACCGTAACCTTGGGTGCGGATACGTCACATCTGTAGCTTCTAATGGTTCCTTTATATATTTGGTAACGCGAATTAAAACAGTATACGCTAGCCCGGAAGCCAGCCTAAACGCAGGTTATTGAATCTCCAAGAGGAAATACCTAACGAAAAACCAGAGCTGTGGAAATATATGTTGTTGTTTATTGATTGTACATTTTACAGCAATACAGTCAATTATTGCAATATCTATAATTTCAAAGGTGGAGATTGTCAAATGCTGCAGAAAAAACTACATGTAGCAGATTGAAAAGCTTTGTGGAATCCGTCCATTATTTTCTATCTAGAACCCAATATCTCTAAAACTACGCGATTTGATTTATTTCGCCGCTTCATTTTCGGCTGATTCGACCCGTGAGCAACCTACGAGGGCTTGCTAAAATGTACAGCAGTACATATTTTATATATGGAAAATATATCTGGAAAATGTTGTTTTATATCCGATCAAATGGGGTTATAATGCTTCCTGCAATCTGATTCGTTCTACTACCACCGAGTGTTGGCGCCTCGAATGAAGTGTGGGACTTGTGCTGCAAAAGATTGCTGGGCTACCGATCATCAAGGAGTGTGGCTAAAAGAAGTCGTTTTCTCAATTTATGTAGTAATAGTTTGTTTCCCATAGTACCAGAACATGTTGTTGCCCATTGGTCCGCTAGTATTTGGGTGGAGCCTGCAGAATCAAGGGTTCTAGTAACAGATACTTATGTTGTACTAAGTACATTCGACTACGCCCGTGACTGAAACTGTAATATCTATTTCTTGTAGCTTTTTTGCGTGAAGAAAAGAGTATTCTTACGCCTTGAACAAACCAAACCTTTGGACTAGCAAAATTATGGTTTGGCCGTTAGCCATCAGTTTTTTTGAACCTATATGATCGGCTTTTGTGGTTCGGTTGTGAAACTCATCCTGAATTCAAACCAGCAGTCAGGTTTGGAGTTTCAGGTTTGGAGTTACGCTCTCAGCTTTTAACTGCGATATCACTTATTGGTTACATATTGTTCGTGTCGTTTCGTGAAAGATCGCGCCTTTTCCTAAACGACCAGCTTGCCACACTTTGTTCACTCTGGATTTTCACTGCTCAGCAACACTTCCGCTGATTTTTTTCTTTAGCGCTGACTTGTAGGCAGCATACTACAAGATTCGCTTCGGCCAACAATCGCCTGTCGCTTGAATCACCGCTGCAACAATTCAGCGCCTATTTCGCCTACACCGCTCCCAAGAAGGGAGGCAACGCCCTCGGGATGAAGGCGCTGAGGTGGGTGCTAATGGTAATTGTCAGAACCAAGGTCTTCAAGCACAGAGACTGGAGCCGGACTCATCTACAACAATTGCGGAGTCTACAATTGCTGAGATGGCTCAATAATCTCCAATGCCCGACCTTCGACCACCAGTTTCAACTGGTATTATTTCTAATTCAACTTCATCTGTACCTGTACCGATGCATGTTACACAAGCAATTCGAAACTATGTACCAGCTGATGGATTTACGGTACTGCCAAAACGCCGTGGAGAACGATCGATAATTCTTGACTGGGGGGTACGCGTTACTTCCACGCTTGAAGGCAAGGAATACGTGTGCTGGATATGTCAAGGTAGTCTCGAATGCCGTCGCGAAAACAAAATAATTCAGCTGTTTGGTAATACGTCTAAAGCTACCAAGCACCTTGGCGAAAAACACTTGCTGACAGCAGGCAAGATCACAGCAGAAACCACGAGGAAACGTGACCGAGCTGAGGAGCTAGAGCGCATACGATGTGCTATTGCTGATGGGGCAGATAGCAGAAGAATGACGTTGTTGCTTGAAACGATGCGCGTAGTGAACAATAATCTCCCGTTTCGGATCGGGGAATACGACGAATCGGAGTTGCTTGCAGACTTGGTAGTCCCAGACGAATTTCGAGCGACTATCAACAATCACACCGTAACGCGAGCTATTGCAGAGCTTTATATAAGTGCTCGACAGGCTATTCGGTCTCATCTTGAACGCAGCAGAGTCAACAACTAGGCGTCGTTTTCAATGGTGTGCGATTTTTGGTCTTCTAAGTCGCAGAGGGCAACCAAATTTCTATGTCTGAGGGTTTTTACTTTGTCGACAATAACTGGGAATTCCAGTTATTCGATCCTTCTTGGCACTCGCCATTATGAACCGATGTATGGTGAAAGAAGCAACGGGAGCCGTGCATCGTTTAAACGATGGATCACAGAGATACTTAGAGATTTCGGGCTATCAACCAATGATTTTTATGGCTCAACTAGTGACTCCGGCCCTGACGTCAAATGGATGATGACGAAGGGAATTGGCCTCCAATGGGAGTGGTGTATGCCCCATCTCACGAACGCTGCGACTAAAACCGCGTTTGGCATCGCTTCGCAGCGCAAGGCCTCAAAGAACTTACCAGCCACAGATATGGTATCTCGTATCGCCAGTACAACATTCGCTGTCCGTTCCAATGCTTCAATGGGGAGCCTGTTCTCAGAGCTTTGCGAAATGGCAAACGCTGGTGCTACCACACAGCTGATTGAACACAAAGAGCACAGATTTATGGGTTTCGCTAAGGTCGTTCGCCGCTTGCTAGAGAAATGGGACCAACTCGAAGACTGGTTCCAAGAACGTATTGATAAAGCTATTCGTGAGCGAAAGTCAGCGCCAGAGCCATTTCGAATTGCTGACGACAAGATGAACCTACTGCAGCTGTATGAACTTCTCAACCCGATCATGGCATTAAATATCAAGAGTCAAAAGGAGGACACAAATCAAGTTGATGTCCTATTGTCAGTCTTTCGACTGCGCAAAACAATTCTGGATCAAACCCAGCCCGTCAAAGACAAAATGCGGGCACCAACCGATCCTCCACTTTTTTTTACCAAGTCCGGGACCTCACGCGACTCGTAAAGTCGACGCGAGCACTACTTGCGAAGTAGTTTCACAAAAATTTCGTCATTCGCTACACGGACCACGCACGGATCCGCGAATCATCTTTCATTCCAGAGGTTCAGATGCTGTTACACCCGTCACTAAAAAACCAAGATGTCAATCTAGCTAAGATTGTCCGACTTTGCAATGAACAGTTGATTATCGACCCGGAGCAGCCCCATCTGCGAATGGATGAAGCTGCTGTTGCCCGAAATATTGCCAGTGTGAAGGAAGCTGTATTGAAGCGGCTACGAGCGTTAATGCTAACCAAATCTAGCGGTAGCACGCACACTTCGACTTCGGCAGAAACATACCGTATGTCTTCGCAACATGTTACACCTCAGCATTTGCCACCGGGTTTCGAGTCTCTATCTTCATTTATCGAGCTTCCGTCTCTACATCCTCCTCAAGTTTTTTCTGAGGATCTTATGGAATTTGCTGAAGAAGCTGCCGAGCATGTAGAGCGGCGAAATGTACATGAGGCACGCATTGATGAAGAACTCGAACGGTGGTTCTCCGATCCCAGTAGGCTTCTTACAACGACGACCAAAACCGAATCAATCTTGCAATTTTGGAAGCGCCAACAAGATGAAAACAACTATCGACTATTACCTATCGCGGCTCGAGTCATTTACGCTATTCCAGCGTCGTCTGCTCAAATCGAAAGGGACTTCGGTATCAGCGGCATGCTTGTTACCAGCTATCGCACTAGTATTGCAAAGCACAACATCGACATGTGCTCCTTTTTGAATCGGAATCGACAATTTGTCGATGTGGTCAATTGTCCTCGACTCACAGATTCAGAGTTGGAACAAGCAGTACCAGCAAATGTACTAGTTCCGCTAGCTTCAAGTCAAGTCAATCTGCCATTTGCTGCGCAATGGGAACGCGAGATGGCGTCTTGTTTGTTTGATAGCGAACTAGACGAGAACGACCAAGCTGAATAAAATGCATTTGTGTTTGTTGTTGTCTTCCGTACTACTACGAATTGTGCATCATACTGAGAATGGCGTAAGACCACGTTCAAGTTAATAGCGAATTCAGTACTTCCATGCACAAGTTGTCTGTACAGTTTTTATTTCCTGTATCGGAAGTCATTTGATTCGCCCATGAACCGCGTCACATCCTTCAGTTTCCACTGCGTAATTCTTTCTCACGCTTCGTAGCTCGATCTTGGATTTGTTTCATCGCAGCATCTCAAGCAGTAGTCAGAAGTGCATGTCGTTTAGGTGGTCTGCTGGTTTTTTGCTGGACAGCCGATCGTCGCGTGATGCGGCGGCTTGGTACTGGCGTTGTAGTCTTATCTGCGGTCTGTTGCAGTTTTTATGGCGTCAATTGCTTGCGAAGAAGCGCTTGTATTCCCAGGCTGATCTGATTAAGTGCAGTTAGTACAGCAGGGTCACCGCTATCCGTGTTTACACAAGATTGTACATCAATTCGTCGGCCTGACAAGTGCTGATATTCATGAGATGTTGTAGCAATATCTGTAACCGGGTCGACTATTGTTGCGGAGGTGACTGGAACACTAGTTACCCGATTCAACACTTTCTTTGTAAGACCGTCTGTGTTGCTGTAAGTGAAATCCTTCCTTCTGCAGCTTGGTTTTTGACAGCCGATAGGCGAGCGTTCAAACGATCGGTAGCTGCAGTTAGCTGAGCGATTTGATGTTTTAGGTTGTTGTTGTCCGTAGTTGACGCGGCCTGGAAGTCACGGAGCTGCAATTGAAACTTCGTTTCGAGTTTAGCCGCGTTAGTTTGAATATCATCGCGAAGATCCTGTTTCAATGCCACTTGATCGCACTTCAACTTATTCGTCATGCTGACAAAGCGTTCTTCAAATTCTGTATGGGTATGCAGGCTAGCGGCACGTATCGCACTATCAAGCTTTTGTTGAAGTCGATCTTCAATGCTGTCAGCATATGTTTTTGCCAGTTTAGCAGCTTGTCCCTGTAATTTTTGCTCTTGTTTCATCAAGTTGTCTTGCTGGGCGAACTGAAGGTTTTTACTCTCTCTCTACTGCCGCCTTCAGCTTGGTATTAAGTCGCCGCTCAATCCACTCCGTTTGTAAGTCCGTAGTGGCTTCAAATGTGTCTTGAGAAGCTTTAAGTACTGCATCTAGGTGCCGTTCACATTCAGAAGCGTGTGTGTTTGTTTGTATTCATTTATTGCACCCTCCATAGTCGTCAATGTGGAATTGATTTTTTGGTCCAACTCTTTTGCAAACATCTGAAATGATGCCTTCATAGTGATGTCCACGCGGTCATGAATATCTTGGACACCATCAATAAGACGTTTATTTATATCCGCTGCTTGGCTATCGATATGAAACTTGTTCATCGCTTCCAAGTGGACTTGGACATCTTCAAAGTACTCGTTTATACGAGACCCCAGGCGCTGCTCTGAATCTGCGGTCGTATTTACGACGTGATCGTGTGCGTATTGAGCTACTTCAAGCAACTTCTCATCTGTCCGTGCTTGTGAAGTCTGTAAAGCATGCCCTAGCTGCTCAACAACGCCAGCCCCATCGACAATAATATCCTCCCTGAGTAGTATCTGTTGCCGCCGTTCAATACAACCATGATTCGGTATAGGTTCTTGGCCTTGGCAATTGTGAGACACCACCAGTGCGTTGTTTGCCGTGCCTATCGTCTCCATTCCTTGCGGATGAGCTCAAGAGCCACACAATCTTCTTCTGGTTTGAACCTAAGGGGTGGTTTGGAGAAACTGCCTCCGAGGTTTGGAGTTGTTTCTGAAACTCTTAATGAACCGTGAAACGCATACGAACCAGTTTGATCCGTTATTTTGGTTCGGTTTACTTTCATGAAGGTTTGGTTTGGTTTGGTTTGTTCAGAGCGTGAGTATTCCCATCTAAGTCAAAGAAATCTAGTATCACTAATCAGCTGGAATGTCCTCTCCTTTTAGCCTATCCCAAACACCTTAAAAAATGACAAAAAAATAGGACTAAAGTTAGGGCCTTCGCTTGTCATCATTATCGAGCTACGAGATCTAACTGCCATGGTCATATTCTACCTAAAGAGTTATATACACGGTATTTTTTTGTAGTGTCTACTGTTGTCTCACAGAACGAAAAATGTAGCAGAAGCTTCCATGAATACCAAAGCAATCGTGGGTTCTGTCCTTGATTCTAGGAGTTAAATCTCAGTTCCACTTGAGTTCATGGCGTGGTGACTGACTTAGGAAACCTCCACAGTAGTGCAATTTGCCAGGAAAACCAGAGGAGACCGCAGTTGAGCTGTCCTGCCGAGGATGAATGACTAGTTCAACTCGGCGAGACTCTCCCTCTGGTATACTTGTCTTTCCCACCAAAATATAGGGATTGTGGTTTTCATGCCTTAGTTTTTGCTACAGAAACTCGATAGAGACCGGGATGCTCTAATTCGAAAGTTTATAGAAGCGCGGTTTTCACATTAGTTTCTGTAGATTGATAACTAACGCCAGCGAGTAAATAACTCCAAGAATGCGCACTCAAATTTGGACGAATTCGTTTTTCTTCGTAATTCACAGGAAAATTAGCGAAATTACAAAAACAAAAAGTTACCAGGGTCTCACTCCGACTTGGTGACCACTTACGCAAGGCGTAATCATCGTAAGCAAGTTTAACACTCCTTATTAGGCACTCGACTAAGTGAGGTTTTACTGTCTGTTAAACTGATATGCTACAAATCACAAGAAATTTTAACCCAACCATTACTCCCTACGTGTTTAGGTGTGGAATCGGCACAGAAAGCGAGGCATTTAGGGGCGAGCCATTTAGTTGCGATCCTACCGCTGAAATGTGCTCGAAAAGACTGTAGCAACAAATAATTCCATTCCATGGCAGGAGGTGGCTCTTTCGTAGTAACGTTGGCCGCTGGTGCGGCACTTGTGCTATAGGGTCGACGGCGACCACTCCGGACGCTCCTCGGGTCCATAGCAATTAGTGCACGATGCAAGAGTTTTATCGTTGTTGAATCAATAACTAAGGGCCGTTCTTATCGACGGTAGAGCTGTAGCGTTTTCTCCTTCGGTAGCGCGGGCTGCCATAAAAAAACATTGTTGTAGCGTGCGCTACGGCAAAAACGACTTGAGGTGTAAAGCGGTTGCGTGCGCTACCAGTGTAGCGCGTTAAATTAGCGAGCACTGATTGGCTAACAAAAGCAGCCAAACATATAATATCACACTTTAACTATGGATCTCAAATTAGCTTCAGTTTCTCCTCGCATGCGGCTACATGTTTTACCGCAGAACTAGTAGACTATACCTGGGACTCTCAAGGATATCAATGGCAGGGACTCCAACAGACCTTTCCTCAATAGGGATGACAGCGTTGCTTACGTCAGACCTTCCGGCTAGTGAGTTGGCATCTATGGGAACCGTTGTGGCCGCAGCACTATCTCAAACGCGAGCCTCAGATGTAGCCACACCAAAAGTAAATGGCTCTTTGTTCGAGGAAGTGACATTCGAGGACGTGGCCGTCGGTGACGAGGAGTACGAGCACCAAGGTTTGACTCTTGAGCGGAAGACAGCAGTATCGATAAAAGGGATGGCAGTCAGTCAAATAGAACATAGAGAACTGCGGTCTATTTGCAAGGCACTTGCAGTGCCCGGTTACAAAAACAATAAGAAGACGGTGATGGCCCATCTAATAGCACTGAAGAAGCTCAACGAAGACGTGTAAGACAACTTGTTCAGTCCAACAAAGGAGAAAGCCCCAAGCAAACAGGCACAGTGCCCTTTTCGACTCCTCAATATTCTTTTTTCAGACACTTTTGCCGAGAGATTTTCCCGACTTGGTGAAATTTCAAACCGTCAGGACCTCGTCGCTAGTGTCTCTAGACAGAAAGCATTTTGGACTGATGTGCAACTAACTTTTCAGGACAAAGATGATCCCCACATCAGCAAACTACAGTTTAGTCATTTTGCCCCGGACGAAATGGAGATTGATCCCCTCTCTAGTAGTACAGCATGATTGGAAAGAGCTGAGAAGCATCTATGCAGACACGGCTAAAGTCTACAAGGAAGCCCACGCAAAATTCACCCCATCAGCCAGAATTTTATCATTTCTGAGGTTGCCGACTCGATGTACTTTATCTGCATTTGGCTGGCCGACCCGATATCATAGGTTACATTGAAGCTGATCTTCCTGAAAGTGCATTTTACGACAGTGAATTAAAAAAAAAGGACACAACTCCAGTAAAATAGGACAAAAAAGGAAAGTCGAGTGGCCAAACCGTAGCAGAGGCGATTAATGATTTCGTCTACAGTACTACGCGCTCAGATAAGGCATTGCAAAAGTTGGAGCTACTCCGAAAACGTGACGCACGCGAAGAAGCTCAAGAGATGCGCAATCAGATGAAAGCCGAGCAAGAGATGTCTTTGCTTCGCTTTCAAGAGTAGACGAGGATTTCCGATCGCATTCGAGCATTGCGATGCGAGCTTCGAGAGGAAGAAGATCAAGAGTCCGCTGCCGATCTAAGAGCTGACATTGAACAACTCAAGCGCGTGAAGGAGGAGATCAACTTCAGCTAATTTCTTATCTCACATCTATAGTGAATTCATTACCATGTTACACTGGAATGTAACAAAACTAGCAAGTTTTTATTTTGCCTTTTACGTTTGTTTCTTGATAAATTGTACTGAGGTCTTGCTAGTGAAAGATCTTTAATTTGATGGACAATTCGATCTCTAATGACAGATACACCAGGGCTTTGAATTACCACTATGTCGCTAGGTAAATACCCTTTGTCGAGAGCCCGCCCATTTGAAAGAGGATTCACCAAATCATTGATAATTGAATTTGGTCTCTTACTAATAACGAAGTTATGTAGTCTGCCGGCCGTCATTATTACTCTCCCAACATGACTTAGCTTCACTTGTAGTGACCGGCGTAATATTCTCCATTTTGTAGTCATCAGTCCAAATGTTTGCTCTACCTTAATTCGCAGTTGGCTGACGTAGAAATTGTAGGCGTCATTGTTCGGATTGTCTCGATGAGAACCAGAAAATGGAGTGATCAAGTGCTCACTTGAAATGTAAGCGTTATCACCGATAACGTATTTACCGATTGGTAGTTTCTCAGCGAGTCTAGATACACTCGTTTTACTGAAAGCACGCACGTCGTTTGCTCCTCCAGGAGCAGCACCACACATAAATGTGAATCTACAGAGATAGTCACACACGGCCTGGACATTTACACCCACCGCTTGATAATGGCCATAGAGGTAAGAGGAAACGTTCCGGTTTCTTTGGACGATGGTGTCTTGATTCGTACCAACATTCCATCGACGCACCCAATACAACTATGGGAACTACAAAATGTGAAATTAGCTGCAGCCCTAGATAATTCACAGCTGGTCTTCGGAAAGTTCATATCCAACGTCTTATATGATAGAATAGCAGTAATAGCTAAGTGGATAACACGGTAAAACGATGCCACACTGATCTCCGCAATATCGCGAATATCTAAGTAGGATCCTCCCGCTAGCCATCGAAGCAGACAGTGTAGCACAATTTCCGGAGCAATGAGTTCGGCATCGAGCGAGATTCATCGACATCATTCCCCAGTAGTGACAGCAGCTTGTTGAATGGCACGACACTCATGCGATAAGTACGATAAAACATGCCCTCGGTCTCCAATTGATCAACTCGCTCAGCCCACCGCGACCGCTGCCGAAACACACGTTCTGCTCGAATGCAAAGTCCTTCGTTCACAATCACGAGAAAGAGCAGCAACCTTCCTTGTACATCGTCATCTTCCAACTCGGAAACGGCACTCTCGATAGTATCTTCCCAAGCTAAATCCATGGTATCGCTGTTTCCAAATGCAAAAATGACAATTCTATAGCAACATTCTTTTCGCTCGCTATGATGAACTCGATAAGAACAAAAGGTTGCGTGTGTAGATTGTCGTACATATGGCCGGTTGCGCACGCTACCGCGCTACTGATCGATAAGAATAGCCCTAAAAAGCCTAAATATTTTATCAGATAGTATCATTGTAACATTTTGGTGTGGTGCACAAGAACCAACATACCTATAATTTGGTGGGACAGATAAATATTCATCACATCTGGAAATCGTTCCTCTAGCAAACGACACAGACTAGTATTCAGCTTGAGCTCAGCCGGATTGAGCCAAGGGACGTCCAACTCAGCTGCAGCAACAGCTGCGGCCATGTGGGAGTCATGCAGAGACAAGAATTCCTGGCGCTTGATCACTTGCTTCTGGCGCCAAATGCCCGCCCGCTGATCCTTACATCGCCTGAGCATGTCGAAGTGCAAGGTCGCCAGTCGAGTTAAACAGCCGAACTGACTCCTGTAGCTGCTCAAAGTGCTTGGCGGTGATACCCTGGAGAGTGACGAATTTGGCATCTTTGTCGGCGATCGTCTTTTGGAGCGTCTTGATCTCAGCGTCGCGTTCATCAACTTGCTGTTGTAGTGTAGCGGGATCAGCAAAATCTGCGAGATTGCTGAATCCGACTTCCCACCAATACCCAGACACCGACTAACGGAGGGGGTCCCCCGATGATCCGTGATCTGCTGAACTCGTTCACCTTGTGTACCCGTCGGTCGGGGCAGGATCTTTCTCCTCTGGTGACTGCAGAGAAGTTCAAGTGGGTGAAGCTTGAATGCATTAGCGAGACTTG